ACGCAATGTGAAGAATATAAAAAAATAAAAAAAAACCTATATTACTCAGAATGATATTAAAGTTAGATATTCTCTGTACAACTAGAGAAACAATCGATACAAAGATAGGCTAATGGAGTGGATAAGAAGTAATGCAGAAGAGGATGTCTCATCTAAAGGAAAGAAGAGAGTTTATTAATTATAATTGCATTTTTTACGGTTCGCCAACTGAAATGAATTGCTCTTAGGAGTGCTATTTTATTATTATAGTAGTAGGGAAATCGTAATGGAAGAATTAAAAATCCATGAACTCTTATTAATTAAATCGTGCTCGATTTCATATAAGTAGCAGATTTCTTTTCTTTATTTGCTTGAATTTGTCAATTCCATTCTCTAATTGACTAATTGTGTTCATTATAAAAGTACAATCTTAAGTTAGTAAGTCAATTTTCAAATGTAAAAAAGTTAACTGAAGTTACACGAAGTTTTCATACTATTTTTATATCTACTAGAATCATGTTTCTATTTTTAAGGAGAGTTTGTATCTAAATTATGGAAATTTAAACTGGAAAGGAAGTTAAATTGATTATTTGAGTCTGAAGGAAAGAGTGTTTTAAGATGCATTATGGCTTCGTAAGCAAAAAATAAAAATAAAAAAAAATGTTACATGTTAAGGATTTGCAAGAGTACTATACTAAGAAAAAACATGGACATTATTTGACTGTTGAAAAAGAAATAGATATTCCAAGATGCTATCGATGAGATAACTACATAAATCGATTTTTTTTTATGAAATATGAAAAAATGCATATAAATTGGGAATATATAAAAAACATAGAAAAATAATAAAATATAAAAGCTAAAAAAATTTGAAAACAAATTATATTATTTTGTAAACGTGTTTTTCAAACATAAAATATTAACTTGGCTTTAAACATTTTTGTTGCTTACTATTAATTATATCTAGTAAAATTCTTTGATAATATGCTATTGAGAATTAATTGAGATTATTATTTGAGACGTAACTCATTTTTGCTTTTTTTGTAAAATAAATTTTATTATAAAATAATGCTATATTAAAACCAAGAAGTTATGGTAGGGAATATATTAGGATTGTTTTATTGTTCTTTGAATCCGTCTAACTTAATTTAGATGGAGAAACAAAAAATTTTATTTATAATGTCTTTTTCTTTAGTAAAAACGAAAATCTAATGGAAAATTTTTTAAAGTTTCTAAAAATAATACCAGTAACATTTTTTCTTAATTCTAGAGTTCGGGGGGAAATAATAATAATTCGAGTATGAAGAAATGAATTTATCAAAGTTATACGTGTTCATTAGCAAGTTTTACTATTTAAAATAACTTTGTCTGTTTAAGTAGTTGAAAATTCATTGATTTATTATTCAATCTAACTTAATTTTGATTTAATGTCTTCCAAGTAAAGTTTGCATTAAAAGGTTTGACAAAATGACAGAAGCAGCGATTGTTTCGTGACCCTTTCTCTCCCAAGAGTAGACGAGAGACAAGCTGCAACATCGATCAACATTCTACCAGTACAACAATACACACGATTGAGTGCAATCCGTGCAAGAAATGGCAAAGATTAGTTATGAGGCGTAAAAGTATGTAAAAGGAAAACGTGACAATTTCTTTTATATATTTCCTCTCAGATAATCATTTTTATCTGTCACGTATAAAGAATTGTTTCATTTTTGTAAACGGAATTGTAATGGTGTAAGACTGGATCTATAAAATAAAATAACGATATATCTTAGATTACATCTTATCCGGTGATAAAATTCCTACAAGTATATCTGTATCTATATATATCCCGAAGACATTTTTCGAATGTGCTTCTGAAATAAGGTATACCTGAATGATCTATATAAAAAGGAAGACGAAGATTTATCATCATAGCATTATCTTGCATTCGAATATGATAAATATAATATTGATTACTAAAAATATATAAAATTATCGTTTATATATAATAATTTAAATATTATATTTTTAATTATCTTTTTAACTTTTATGAAATGTTAATCGTCGATGTTGAAAATTTATAATCGAAGAAGATGTTAGATATGAGAAGCATCTTAAATAGAATATCCAGGCCAACTGTATAGCTATTTTTAGAAATCAGCACTAATTACTCGTTATTACATTAACACACAAAATTTTCATTATTTTACTTTAAATATTTGTTTTAACAAAATTTGTTAGTCATTTTCTACATTAGAATACGGAAATGAAGGACAGATATTGTTGTGGACTGTTTGTCCTTATCAAGGAGGCTGTCGGTTCGCATCTTGTGCTAAATTACTTTGTTTAATTATCCTTATCTTGTGTCTTTCAGCCGTAAGGAATTAAGTAACTTCGGGCCTGAAGCATTTCACCCATTCAGTTTAGCATCTGTCACCCAGCAGGCTTGTCCTACAATCAAGACTAACTTTTCCGACATTTCACGTCAAAGTAAAGCAGAGAAATGAATTCTGTGACTTCATATAACTGTAACTTATATCATTTTCCACTCGCTTAGCATTACTGATTGTTCTGCCGGATGTTTTACGTTGATGCATAATAAGTTTTATTTAATCGATCATTTCTAGAATTACTAGCCAAACTTTTTAATTTCTACAAAATATTACTATAAGCTTTATAAGTATAAATAAATTATTTATTAAATAATTTAATATAAACCTACATTTTTTGAACGTATATATTAAAAATATAATTTAAAAACCTTTTTAAAATTTATATATTTTTAGAAACTTTAATATATTTTTTAAAAAAGTTTTAATGAAATATTCATCTTACGTATGATGTAGAAATTTGTGTTATGTTAAAAATGCCATAAAGTCTTACAAAAGTAACATACATAGCAAATTACATGCTTTAGGCAGATAAATATGCAATTATAAAGAAATAACACTTCATATGAATTTAAATTAATAGAAAAATTTTATGAGCTAATTTACAAATATTACAACATGTATTTCTAAAAAGGCTCGGGTATTCATAACTCTTGCTAGATTATGTCTAATATATTTGCTTATACTAACAAAATATGTTTTGTGAAGAAAATAGAGTTACAGATAGTAGTTTTCATAAGTAATTTCCATTTTAAAATAATTATTTCACGACAGAAAGTGTTAGTTTATTGTAAATGTGTTTACTTTCTTTAAAATATTATATGTGAAAGCATTCGAAGTGTTAAATGATAAAATTCACCCATTAAAGTATTTTAAAATGTACTTACCAATTAACGTGAATATATTAGCAACTTAGTATGAAAATATATGTTTTTATCATCAATTTTAAACATTAAATGTGAGATTTTACATATTTACAATGTTTATTTTATAAATAAATTATAAAATTAATTTTCTTGATATCATTTTCAAAAATATTCAATTTATTTTTTAATATTATCTCCTCGATGTCGTTAAATACACTTTTTGATATAGTGTAATGTCCTTTTTAAATAGGTAATAGTACATTAAAAATACAATTTTACAGTACAAAATAATTTTAAAATATAATTTTCGACATTCTTAGAATGTTTTAAAACTTTTTATAACTGGAATAACCTGTACCATTACATCAGTAATAACGGGTATTACAAAACTTTCAAATTAAACACGAACAGAAAAGATATTTAAATTACGAATATCAAAGATTCTTTTTTTTTTTACTCGTTTAATCTTAGAGAAATTAAATTGTTAATTTAAATAGACGATGACATTGATGTACAACATTCATTCAAAATATCTTCAATAAAATAAATTCGAACATAAAAATTCCAGTGTAAAATCACATGGATATTGCTTTAATGTTTTCTGCTTATCTAAGAGGAAAAGTCGATAGCCAAAACGTAAAGGCATCTTGACAGAATGTCTGATGTGCATGGAAACAACTTGAAACTACCACCACCTCTCTCATGATGAAGAAAAAATTTTCATATTCTGATGACGTTAACAACTTTTATGGCAAATATTTCCGAATGGCTGGTTCCCAATATCGTTTCGGATTGTTCTTTTGACCTATACACTTCTCGAAATTTGAATTCGGTACTGATTATATTTCACATATTCCACTTTACACTTTTCGTGTGCCGTAGTCATAATTTACATATCGCCTTGTTACTATGATAATAAAATCGCTTTCCGTCTGGTTTAACATGTAATGTGCTACGTTGTATTATACGTTTTATCAATTACCGTTATCCCATTAAAACGGAGTTATCGATTTATACGGTATATAATGCGTGATTAACAATGTGCTACTACATTAAATTAATACTAGTGCATAAACATAAATTTAATAATGCATTAGATGTTAAGGAATATTTTCATAAAACTTTATATTTTAAACTCGTTTCAAATATAATATTTCGTGTATCACCTTTTACAATGTGAAACATAATAAATATGAAAAGTTTGATAGAGAATCCTCAAGATGGAATTGCGTGTCAAAAGGTTTTGTCCAAACACATTGAGAACTCGTACTTGAAAAGATAGGTTAATCGAAGAATATCTACTTTAGAATTCTCATGCCGATGAACTAATGTGTTTCTTATCAAAATGCGATAAATTGTCACGCATAAGATCAGATTAATGATGATTGCTTTTATACACACTCATACATAGATTGACTATATCTTTGATCATAGTAATCAAATTTAATTATCATTAAAAGACTACATTAAATTTTTTATTATAAGATACCGTTTAAAGTATTTATTGCATTCCCTAAATATCGTCTAGGTTAATATAAAGTAAAAAATATAAAAATTACAAACTATATTTATTAACGCTTTATTTAAGGAATTCTGTAAAAAAAATCGAAATTTCAGGTGCGCAAATCGTATAAAATGCCAATATTCATTTACTTTACTTTAAATTACATAAAAAATTATTAATGTTAGTGGTTTTAACAAAATTTTTAAATTTAATACCATCAAATATAGTTAATATACAAGCAGTCTCACTTAAAAATTGCTTAAATAATAAAACGCTTACCTCCAGAAGGGGCATAGATATTAAGATAAAGACAATCTTCACTCTGGTTCCTAAGATAAGGAATCAATCGCTTTAGATATTCGAGCCTTCCAGCAGGCATCCGTTTCAACGCTTCTGTTTCATTGCTGACATCAGGATACCTTTGAGGGCAAACAGGGCTAAATCTATCGGCTGTTCTTACTCCTTTCCAATGTGGTGGAGTTACCGGGGGCATAAAACGAAGCGACCCCACAGGGGCACTAGCATAGGGAACACCTAAAAATACATCTATTGGTTGAAGACTTTTATGAGGCAAAGATATGGTATATCCTCTTAAATCCCCATACTTGGTGGGTACCACGCGGGATGCGAGACGTCTGGGATCGGAAGCCACCCACTGCCATGTAGTAATGGCAACAGTCAAGAAAATCATCAAGAAGTTTAACGTAGCCATTCTTTATCACATACTGAACTCGACTTTGATCCCAATAGTGCTGATGATTTCATCAGACTCACGAAGAATTGATAATATAGTAGATTTTTATCCTCCTTTAAATCACTACAAAAAATTAATCAGAAAAGCACACCAGATGATAAAGAGTTCGAGTTGTAAAGTAGTTTCATTTCAATCTAGGGGTTTAAAATGCCCAAGATTTTGATAAAGTCCAGTAAAAGGCACAATATAAACACAGTTGTTATCCTCATGATTATAAAATGATTGAAATATAATCCAGAAAAAATCTTCAGTATAGAAAATATGAGCAAAACTTGCACCTTCCATATTTCGATCTTTTTGTACTCACTAGTACAGAAATTATATGAAAAATGAACATGACAAGTATTAAATTTACTACTGGAACTTTTTCAAACTAAGTATTTCGAATTATCCTGTATTGGGAAGACGGGAGTTGTTTATCAGGTCGCGAACAGACCGATTCTGGTTGGCTTACGTTTGCTACTAAAACTCGCATCTTTTACTTCCTCCTCTTCTTCTCCACAGGCATGCGCAGTAACAGAGGGAGAATCTACTGATTTCAGAGGGATGGATGAAGTTATTGAAAGAGGGAAGGAAAGCAAATTGAATTCGGTTCAATTTGTCGATTGTTGTGTTTGAAGAAAGAAGATGTAGAAGGTAGAAATTCGATTCGTTGCGTATAATTTTTTTCTTTTTTGATTTGCTTTACGTTTCCTCTCACTTAATGTTAGTATAACACCTGTGGTTTTCGCACAAAAAAAAAATTTTATGTTACGTCTAATGTTATAATTCGGTTTAATGTTCTTCTACCCTTCACCGTAATCGTCAAATATTAATGATCCTTTTAACAATCTTTAATTTATTCCCTGCTATCGTGCTTTGTCTTTTTTTAAGCTCTCCTTTTCGTTTCTTTGTGTTGTGCAACAAGAGAAAATAATAATTGATGTATAAATCAGCTATATAAAAAGTTTTCATTTCAGTCTGTCAAAATGAAATTATTTATTAGCATATATAATTATGTTTTGAAATTGCTTCTTTATATTAATTATTTTACAATTTAAACATTTTAAATAATATATATGTTTAAATAATGTTAAAATGAACTAAAATACATATACTTAATTGACATTATTTATATTCCTCTATAATTAAGCACTATATTTTATTTTGTAATCAGTTAAGTATGTATAGGCTGTTAAGTTTAAAGAAGTGTTAAGGGATATTTTTACAAAATATTTATTATTTAATTCTTAATATAGTTTTGAAAAAAATAAAATAAATTTATAAAATTTACTAATTAAATTTTGAAAGATGTTAAAGGAATTCAATAATTCACAACTGTTAAATGTTCATAAAATTATGATAAAGTATCAACATTTATCTTAAATATTAAATGTCAACCACTTAATTAGTATATTTATTAAAAATTTTAGTCGTGGCATAATTTAGAATATTTATATAGTTAAAGGTATAAAGTCAAGGAAGATAATTTAATGCTTCGTTAAACTCAAACAATGCCAAACATCATTTGCATATTGGAAAATTGCAATCAAGTTCAAATATTCTAAACTACATTTAAGCAATTGCATAAACTTCATTGATAATTAATAAATGAAATTGGGTTAATAGCAAGAATATTTTCTAAATCAATTTGGATATTTTATCTTTGACGATTGTAAATTTCTCAGATAAGTGTTTACTTAGCATTTTATTTACGAGCCATCCGAAGCTTTTATTTTAAGATTTATTAGGATTAAAGAGATAAAGGATAGAATAAAGACCATTAAGTGCACATTTAGTTCCAGTTAGAATGTTGTTTTATCATTGTAGATAGTATAATAGATGGATTTTTGCTATTGTGTTTAATGATATAATATTGGTTAGGAAACATGTTATAAATTTAACATAATCATTTATCTTATGTTGAAAGTTTCCATTAATATTCATGATTAAAGTTTAAAAAGTTAAAACATGTTCAACATTAATTATATATTATAAAGTTATAATATTTCATAATTTTATTTTTCATTTTTCTTTTCTTTCATTTACATCACTTGTTTTTATTTACATACAATGTATCAAAACTTAACTAACAAGCCAATTTTTTAAACAAATCTAAAGAAACCATTATAAAGCATTTTATATAAAAAAAATTAAGAAAGAAAACGAGGTTTTTCACTAGTAAAAATTAAAAAAATAATCATAATTTTTAAAAATTTCCTTTCATATAGAATTATGACTTAGTTTAATCTTTGAAGCTACATTTTACTTACATTAGTTGTAAATATTTGCTTAAAAACATTACATGTTATATTTTTAATTATTTTAATTAATCTATGTTTATTTTTCATGACAGAACTATGATCTGTTTATATTAATAAAAAATACTGTTTACTCCAGAAAAATGTTGGTTTTTTTTTTCTTTTTTGTTAAAAGAACGTAAACTTATAAATATAATTAAAAAAGTGAAAATGTAGAAAGTATTAAATTATTTCTTGACGAAGGAAAAACTAAAATATAATTAAAATTTCATGGATTTACTACTGCATTTAAGTATTATAAAAATTTGTATTATTATTATTATTATTATGAAAATAAGATTAATGAAAAATACTTTACAATTGTTGTATTTTCACATTATAAAAGAATAATAATTCAAAATTACTCAATAGTTAATAACAAAAGTTGACACTCATTATTAATTATTATTTCTTAAAAATAATAAATTCTGATGTAAGTCAACTTAAAAATATTAATTAATTTTTACGTTTTCTAAAAATATATCCTTGATTTTATTTTTTTGGTTTATTTGATTCAATAATAATAGTCTTAATTTTGAATTTAAGCAAGATTAATTGCTAATGAAGAACTATCAATAGTTTTCGATTCTATAAATATTCAAATTAATATTAAAGGAAAATAAGAAATAGTAAATGATAAATAATGACTTAAACATTACAAATAATATAACATCAAATTTTCAGAAACGCCAGGAAAAAGCAAATAGTTTTAGAGTTTGATTGAAAAATTTTCACTTAGTTTTCCTTATAAAAACGGCCAAAACGAATTTTTAAACGAATTAATTTTCTCTATTTTACAATATATTAATGTAATTCATCTTTCTTCCCTGTAATAGTACTTAAGTAATAGCCATGTTTTTGTTGCTTCGGTTTAAAATCCCCGGATAGTGATGTATTTATTTATTTTTACACAGTAAGGATGATTCGGTTTTTAAAATGTTGTAAGCGTCTTAAAGGAATTCACTCATCAATTCTTAAAAAATAATGATTAAATTATTTGTTTATGTTTCACAAAAATATTTTTATATGAGGGAATTCAGCAATACAAAGAAATATGAAAACTATTAGTCCTAAACTAATATTCTCACTACGTATGATACAAAAGAATATTACAATGTTAATTGACTAAAATATTTCCACTAGTATAATTGTAATAAACGTTTCCACCATTCGGTAGTTGCCGTGTAGTCTCTTTCTGGATTGGATATGCTCATCCCAAGCACCATCTTCCAATCCTCTAACTCTCATCGTTCCCCGCTCATGTTTTCTTGGTGGTGATTATTTAGCCTTTTCTCCTCGGGCATTCGTTGTATATGGTCTTAACATATCAAAGCTTTACTATCCAAACGATCTATTACATTCTCTTGTAAATGCTGCATGATTTATTATGAGTTCTTTGATGATGAGCTCATAAACTCCATTGTAGATCATCCATCTCTACGGACCTTAGACTACTCTTCTGGTTTTTATTCTTCCCCTCCACAGAATACTTTACTCATTTATAGTATTATTGAACTATTGAATGTCACTACTCTATTCGATTTAATTATCTAATAGCAGTGCGATGCTGGTTAAATGGTAACGATACTGCTTAGACAGTTTTAGCCAGTTATAGGCTTACATCATTATTTCGATCATGTGATTCTTTTTAACATGTATGGTCATTAGAGAGAAATTTGTGAACTTTACAAATTTTTCTACAAAATACGATGGAACATGTTCGTAAGAAAGCGTGCAAATAAAAATAAAGATAAATCTTACGAAGAAAAGTTGAGAAAAAAGAAGACAGGCAAATTTTCTCTTTTATTTATAAGATTATTTTATGTTGCGGACTGCATCTCTTCTAGAATTTTATTTCGTCAACTGAACAATCATCTGTATACTTTTTTTTTAAATGCCAGTAATCTTTCCCACTGTAACTTACATCAGAAATATATAAAAGCCATTCCCTCTTTATCCGGAAATGTTCCGAAATCATATTGATGACATCCATATTACACGTTTTTAATTTTATTTCATTATTTAACCAATCTCCTTACACTGAAAACATTTTATATTTGGAAAGTTGTCCTGCGGTAGAGTACGTTGGCAAAAATATTNATTAATTTTAATTTAGAATAATTCAAACTTAGAATTGAATTAATTTTAGTTTATAAATCAGGTGTATGGAGTATTTTATATATATATATATATATATGCATATGAATTTTTTTCGATGATCTTTCTTATTAAAAAATTAAAATACTAAATTTAATTGAAAAACTTATTAGTTATACGTATTTTAATTTTTATTTATTACAAATGAATTTTATTTAATTCGATTATATTTATTGCTCTAATTTAAAATTATATTGTTTTTTCTAAGATGGGAATTAATATTCGTGGAGGATTAGTGGCGATTATATGTGTAAACACAGACTTTTGCCTCAAGCTTCCTGCTTTCAGAGGCTTCATACACGAATAAATAGAAGCTTTTCGATATTCGGTCTTAACTTACTACATAGAATCCAGTATTAGTTAAGATTCTAGACCTTTTTAGAATATTAAATAGTAGGTATATACAGTCAAACTTCGATATAGTACTCACCTAAGTAGTCCCATCCTTGTAAATCGCTGATGAATACTCGTGAATGGATTTTCCCATGAAAATTAAATACAGATATCTTCAGTATCTATGAATTTTTAAATGTATGATTTTACACTGCAAATGACATTGTCATCTTCAAAATTATACGATTTTTAAACTCTCAAACTTATGTGTAATAATAATAATTATGACACAATTTTTATTGTTTGAGGTTCTTCGTTTTGGCTCCATATTCGATTTAGTGTCAGTTTCAGAAGCAAACAAATGGTAGCAATAAATCGAAGTTTGACTGTATGTATAAGGGATCACCAAGCTCATGCTTCTCTATGGTCTAACACAAACTAAAACCGTATCTGTATAAAATGCTTAACGTCTTCATACAAAATCGAAATTGATGCTACCAAAATAAAATAAATCAACAAACTTATTTTATTTATCAATCCCTATCTATTGAAATGTAATAATTTTTCATAAATTAAATAATTTATAAATTTCTTTAAAAGAATAAAATTGATTTCAATGGCTGAAACAAAGCAGCAATTTCAAATGAATATTCAAGTAAACTAAACATTAAAGTTACGAAACATCTTAAACGAAACACTAATTGATACCAAATT